TTGTGACTGGACAAAGATAGGGTAGAGGTGTACAGGGTGGAATTGAGGCATCCATCTTATATAAAAAGTGCTATTTGAAATTTTAACCCTGCATTTTGGCTTCTGTAAATGCTTGCTGGCTTAAATAATAAGGAATATAAGACTACTCCCATTTCAGAGAGGCCATTAAACCTTCTTCAGACGAAGTTATCAGTGGTGGCGTCAGGCCAAGCCTTTGGTTTTGGTCTCAAATCCCCAGCACATAGGGCCCTTTAAGAACTTGCAAAGGGAATCGGAAAAATCCCATATTTGGGAGACAAAGAGGGTAAAAAGGTATAAATACAGGAAACTTCCTGTGTGACTTCACCCAGAATTTGAGAGACATTATCCTCTGGGCCCACGTGTAATAATAATAATAAATGTAACTCCATCTCTCTAAGCGTTGCTTGGTTCTTCTCCGGTTTTCTATAACATTATCATTGCCCGTGATAGGGTAGGACATGGTGCTGAAGTTGCGTCCTTTGAACCTTCCAGAAACAGAATAAAATATCCTCTAAAAGAAAATATATAAGGAAGAGCCAAGTAATTTTTTTATACAAGTGTGTGATTTATCCTGTGTATTTGTATAGGCACAATATTCAGCGTGTAAGGACAGGATCGACAATTATTGATTAGATATTTACTTTTTGCTCTGGAAGCATAAACAATGAAGTCTTGCAGCTTTCCAAGGCCAGCTTCATCTATAAGTCCTGCCTTACAGCTGAAGGAACTGAGATTTAGAAAATGAGCAAGCAGGCACGGATGAAGCTATTTATCTGATTCCAAATATTTATTCAATATTGATAAGAGCATATAACAATAATAGTAACAACTACCGTTTATTAAGTATTAATTTATTTCTAGGCACTGTACTAGTGTACTATACACATTCCCAATTTGTTACAACCTGAAAGATATAGTCTGTGGTCTTCATTTTCTTCAGTGAGAACCAGGGGATGAGGAGTTGAGTAAACACTGTCCCAGGATACATGGGTCATTGGACTACAGAACCTAAGTTGTGTTACATGGTCTCTCACATCGTTTTGCAGTCATATCATGTCACCTTTACTATGTAGGTGGCACTAATATGTCAAGAATCGTACATTTCACACCCCAATTACCTTTGCACATAGAAATATTTCACCTGTAGAAAAACCTTTCTAACTCAGGTTTGTTCTCTCACAGTGTATATCATAGGCATTTACTCATTTCGTAAGCACCGGCATCAACATAAAGATAACCAAACTCGTGTACTACCCACCATCTGGGAAGGGCTGTGAGGGAAGATGCGCAGGGAGGACGTTCCAGGCAGAGGAAACACTCAGATATGCATGTTGTGTCTGGGGCACTGACAGAGGTTACACAGAGAGGAAGCACCACAGGATGGGAAGAAGTCTGCCATTTGTTAACCTCGTAATTTGGGGCAATTTACTTAACCTTCCTCATGGTTCTGTTTCTTCATCTTTTAAAAAGTTATTTTCCCATCACAGTTTCCATTCGACATTATTCTGTATTCGTTTCAGATGTACAGCAAAGCGGTTAGACCATCATGTACTTAATTGTGAGACTATCTGTTCTATTTATCTCATAGTTCATAAGAAACCCACGAGGTAATGCTTGTGCAAGCAATTTGAGAACCATCGAGTTGCGTATTAATAAATAATACATATCATCATGCATTACATTTTAATAGTAATAACCTTATAATTGGGAACAGAAAGAGCTCCCCTTTCTCTCAGTTAATTTTTTCTGGCTATTCACGCCCTTTGTCTTTCTCCTCTGACTTGCAGAGGGTGACAGAAAGCGCTGGTCCTTGATGGAGATGCTGGAGTGACCTTCGCCATTTCATCCCAGGAAACCCCCTTCTCACAGTTAACATTACAGTGAGAAGGGGAATAAGGAGGTGGTGCTCAATATCCATGGAATTTTACAAATACTTTTTAAAAAAAAGATAAAATTTCAAAGTTTAATTTCAGAATATGCATTTAACTTAAATGTGCTACATTTTTACTTGACTCAATATTTTCAAGTTCAATGAATAGCTAATAGGATGATCAATGCATACTTTTTTAAAAATGATATTCCCTAGATAAATACTGTGAAAAGCAATATAAATTACTGCCTTAAAACAGTGTAAAAGTCCACATTTTATCCAGAAAAAAAAACAAAAAACAAAAACAACCCATAAACAAATTTAATTTCAATACATAGATTTTAGGGAACTGGAGAACAATATTGAATTGCACAAAAGAAATCTGGTCACAATAAGTAGTTACAAGTCCACTGAAATACTTACTGGCCTTTTTTCAAATACCTTTTAACCCAGGACCCCTCACACTATCAGATGAAGCAGACTGTATGGGACTGAAGGCCCTGAACCGGGGGCAGTGTGCAGAGATCTGAAATGTACTAAATGAGCCCCATGAACTGGTCAGTGCCTGCCCCTCCCCCCACAGTCTTCCTGTGGAGGGAGACTCCTGGTTCTGGAGAGAGAATGTCAGGTGGCCTGGTGCACCCAACCTCAGCAGACAGTATCCCAAGGCTCCTGTGGAAGCAGCACTGAAGCTGCTGTTCTATAAAAGTGAGAAGCACTATTGACATTTCTAAGCTCAGAACTATGTTTTTAACAAGCCTGAAAATACTGGAAAATAGCGAGTTCAGTTTTCTCTAGAGGATGCAGTGCAGTTAGAATATACACCCACCATCCCTCCCCCTACCCCCACCCCAGTGTGTATCTGGATAAAATATGTGCAATGAAATTTCAGGGCAAAATCTGATGCCGGAATAATCTAAAACATGGCAGATTTATACCGGGAGTGATTTTTATTTATTTTTCAAATGTGGATTCCCTGAAGAACTCAAATGTTCTACATGTTACTTACAGCCTCTCCTTGAAAAGACTTACCTCTAAGGTCTGAGCAGCATAAAACTTCAGGCTGCGCAGTCCTCAGAACTGAGCATGGGCCATAATTCTCCTTCGCCACTGACTCGGGGTGGTTTGGAATTAACTAGCACTCGACCTGTAGGGTAATTAATAATTTATAATTAAACTGGCAGTTTGAGTATATCAGCATAACTGTAAGTGTGGCGCCTCTTGTCTCTGTTGTCTTTCCTTTTATTTTCTGAAAGAAAATTGAGAAGAAAAGTTAAAAGCTTTGCGGCCCCGCACCCCTACCCACACCCACTCCAGTTTTTGGATTTGTCCAATGTGTTCTTTGGATCTTTCTTTCAAAGAAGAATCAAGCATGTACCTCGTCAGCCTTGTGCCAGAGTCTGAGGACACAGGGATGTGTGAAATCCCATCCTTACCCTCAAGCACCTTCCTCTCTAGGTAAAGGGGCATGCGTACAGCAATCAGCTGGGATACAACAGGCCCAGCCCCACCTGCGAGGAGCTTGCCACAACATGTAGCAAAGAGAGATGGGGGGTTCTCTTATCAGGGTCTAAGGGGAGGTGACCTTTGAGGACCCTTGAAAGTTTTGTCATATGTGTTCAGGTAGAAAATGAAAAAAAGACAAGGATAAGCAAAGCTATGGAAGTCCTTGTGCTTTGTCACGTTCCAGGGAAGGTGGGTCCACTATCTGCCGGCTGCTGCTAGTGAGGTCTGCACCTGGAGACGAGGTTTGTCTGTAGGTTGAGGGGCTAGATTTCAGGGGTGTAGGTAGGTCATGCAAAAGAGGTGTTGTGTGAAGCCTGGTGGGCAGTAGTGAGCTAGAGTAGGTAGGGGAGCGGTTTGATTAGATGATTGCCTCAAAAGGTTCCTCTTGGCACAGGCAGGGGAGAGGTTGGAGGGATCCAAAGTTGGAAAGAGAACAGGTGGGAAGTTTCAAGTGGAAGGCTATCGTTCGTGTGAAATTTAGTGAGAAACTCAACCAAGACAAGGGCGATGAGAAGTAGGAGTTGAGGGGAATCGGGGTATTTTCCAATGTTGAGTTTTGAGTTGAATTGAGAGAATCAGGCCTGCAGGTGGGACAGGGTAGACAGCAAAGCCAGGGATCATGTTAGCCTTTGCAATGCTAAAGATAAAGGGACATGGACCTAGCCCATGAGAGTTCAAGAGTTTATTGAGGAAGACGTAATTATTGCTGTCTCCATCTTCGTCTTCTTTGTCGTCTGGTAGTTAATATTTATTGAGTGGTCCTTTCCTATCAGGCACTCTACGAAGCCATTGTTTTGTCTAAACCTCACAACACAGTTAGTTTAGCTACTACTATAATCTCTACTTCACAGCTGAGGAAACTAAGAGGGGAGGGCAGTCTACCTTCCCCAAAATTATTCAACAGGTGAGGAGTTGAACTCTAGAGCCCCGCCCCTAACCACTGGGGTATTATGCTTATGCTTTGTAACACAATATTATAGTCGCCATAGTAGCAGGTGCAATGCATTCCTGACTCTTGGTTGTGCAAACCAGAGGCAGTTTTTCTGTGTTTTAAAAGATGTGTTTTAAGGAATGAGAAGAAAATTTCAGGTAAAGAAATGTGGAAGAAAAGAATTGCAGGATGGAATCATCGGTGCAAGGCCAAAGAAAATGAAAATGGCTAGAATGCTCAAGGAAGGGTAACAAACTCAGTGTGGTTGGCTTTACTGAAAAATAAAAAGGGCTTAAGTGGGGGCAACTCATGCCTATTTGCTTAAGTCAGCAATTCCACTAAAATAAATGAGCATGTGGACAGACAGGAACTCAGAAAACATTGTAAGTAGTTTCCTTTTGGTTTGACCTTTCAATCAACAAGCATTAATGTCCTTGTCTTCAGTTCCTGTGCTTCTTCCCCACCCACACACCCGCCTCCTGCTGCAAGACGTAAGTGCACTGTAAATGTTGTGTTGGTGGCCATATCCTTGGCCAATCAAGAAATCTGAATGTTATTATTGAGACGCTACTCGTTAAAAAGCATGCTATATGAATATTTATAGGCTAGCACCTTCTTTTGAGTGTAAAGACTCATTCTCATGTATTTATTCTCTTCTCTGTTTCTTCATAGTCCCTCCACAAATCATGAACATCTCCTCAGATATCACTGTGAACGAGGGAAGCAGCGTGACCCTGCTGTGTCTTGCTATTGGCAGACCAGAGCCAACTGTGACGTGGAGACACCTGTCTGTCAAGGGTAAGGCATGTACCTATAGAACCTTCTTAGAGCCGGTATTTTGAAGACTTGATTCCATTGTACATCAGAACTTCCGGAATCAGAAAACAATGCTGTTTGATACCAGAGTAATGTCAGAGCAAAGGCCACACCCAACAGTCACTGAGTATCCCATTCCTAAAGGAAGATTTATAGATAATCTTTACTGAATTATTATTTCAGTCCTTTTTATGACTTTATCTGATTTTTGTGTTCCTGACTATGAAGAAGAGAGGTGCCGTAAGAATAACTTCCAACAAAGAAACTGATTTCTCAAGGTCAAGATTGTGTTGGTTAGTTGATGGGTTGTCCTTCTTGAGTAGAGTGGAGAAGACGGCAGTGTCCACTGGGACCACTGACGTCATTGTGTGTCGAGGAGATAAAGGGTCTCCATGCTCAGTACTTTTGGGACATCTACCCAGAGCCCCATGTGTTTGACCTGTTCATATATAGCGCTCTCTAGTAGAGGAAAAATGAAAGAAATGGTGAGGTGTGTAGGGGGGGGGGGTCATGCCTGTGCCAGATGATTAGTAATGAAATGATTAGTAATGAAACATTGGCTATGAGCATCTTCAGCTTACTAGGAAGGGAACCAAAAAGACAAGAGGTCTTATGCCCTTGGAACTAAAACTTACTCCAAGTTGAACTTGAAGAGATGAACACAGAGCCACTTGATATATTTACATTGTTAGTAGAAACAATGATTAATTCTAGAAATTATACAAGAAACAAGTGGCTCCCTCAGGCAACAGAAAATCTAAACATGCAACCCAGGGAAGAGGAAAATGTGGAGTATGCATGTGTATATAATGTAAAAAGAATAGAGATCTAGAGAAAACATAGAAATAAATCTTAGTAACCTTGCACTAAAAACTTGATAAATTGGGCTTTATATTACTTGAATACAGCTGTCATAACAAAATACCATAAACTGGATGCTTAAACAATAGAAATGCATAGCTCTGGTGGCTAGAAGGCCATGAGGAAGGTGCAGTCAGGTTGGTTCCTTCTGAGAGCTATGAGGTGTCTGTGTCTGCCCCTGCCCCTCCTGGGCTTCTGGTTGTTTGCTGGACATCTTTGGTGTCTCTGGATGTGAAGGTGCATTGCCTGATCTCGGTCTCATCTTAACATGACCTTCCTCCCTGTGTGCATCCCTTGGCCAATTTCTTTTTTTTTTTTTAATAAGGACACCAAACATGATGGATTAGGGCCCTCACTAATGACCTTATCTTCAGTTGATTACCTCTGTAAAGATCCTATCCTATATAATAGAAGGCTAATATGCAAATAGTCCCCTCAGGAGTTCGACCAGGAGACTGGGAGTTCAATCACTGGCTATGACATGTGGTGACCATCAGGGGGCGGTGCAGAACATGGTGGGTCACCAGTGGGGGCAGTGGGACACTGAGGGGGCGAGGGAAGGGGGAGGCGGGGAGACCAGGGCGTGGGGAACCTGATCGCCAGCCAGGCCTAGGAATATTACCCGTGCATGAATTTCATGCACCGGGCCAATAGCTTCCAAATGATGTCACATTCTGAGACACAGGAAATTAGGACTTTAAGGTCCTAATCTTTTGAGGGGGGTGCATTTCAACCCATAACAGGCTTAATCAAAATTAAAAACACCATTAAGATATGCATAAGCCATGGACACAGAAAATAGTGTGGTGAAGGCCTGTGGAGGGGGTGGGGGCAGGGTTTCAGGGGTCAAAGGGGGGGAGGGGACATCTGTAATATTTTCAACAATAAAAACACATTTTAAGAAAGAATAAATGAAGAGACAAGCCACAGACTGGGAGAAAACATTTGCTGTACTTACACCTGACAAAAAGAATTTACATCTGGGTTATGTGAAGAATTCTTACAGCACAATTGTAACAACCCACCTTGAAATGAACAAAATATTTGAACAGACAATTCACAAAAGGAGATATGTGAACAAAAAATAAGCGCCTGAAAATATGTTCAATATCTTTATCTTAGAAATGAAAATCAAACAGTACTGAGATACCTCCATACAACTACTAGAATGACAAACATTAAAAAGACTGACAATACCAAGTGTTAGTGAGGATGTGGAGTGACTGGAACTCATACATTAACTCTAAGATGCGAAATGGCATAAGCCCTATGGAGAAAAAGCTCGGCAAGTTATGATGAAGTTAAATATGCACTTAGCATGTGACCCTGCAAGTCACTTTTAGGTATTTTAGCAAAAATAAATGAAAACAAAAATGTCCACAAACATGCATTGTACTCAAGTGTTTATAGGGACTTCATTTATATCAACCTCATACTAGAAATAACCCAAATAACTATCAACGGGTAAATAAATTTTGATATATTCTTACAGATGACTTCTCAGCAATTAAAGGAAACAAACCATTGATACACATAGCACAATGGATAAATCTCAAAAACACTATAGAGCAAAAGAAGTGAGATACAACACAATACAGTGGGGCCTTGACTTACGAGCGTCCCGACTAACGAGTTTTTTGAGATACCAGCTGTCTCTCAGCCGATTTTTTGCATTGAGTTGACAGAGTAATTTGAGTTAAGGAGCTCCTTAACAAGCTCGGTCTCGGAACGAATTAAACTCGTAAGTCAAGGCCCCACTGTACATGCTGTATGATTTTATCTGAAATCATAGAACAGACAAAAGTAGTCAATAAAGACTGCAGTCAAATCAGTGCTTACCTAGGGTAGGAGTGTTTGAAAAAGTGACTGCAAGGGGGCACAAGGGAATTGTGGGGGTTGATGAAAATATTTTATATCCTGAATAGGGGGATAGTGACATTGTTTAGGTTAGTCAAAACTAATCAAACTGTACAATAAAAATAGGTTCACTTTATTGTATGTTAATTAAGTCTCAATAAAATCTAAACTTATAGAGTAGAGATGTTACAAATGATGATCTGAAATGTGTCTCTTAGTTTGAAACAAAAATCATGTGAGCAGCACTTACAAGTAAGAGACTGGGTTGGGTACTAGGAGCGCCGTGTAAGCTTCCACTATTGCACTCCCTCCAATACATCTGGAGAATACAGCTTTCAGCCCTGCCTTGTTCCACGGAAAGACATGCTAATGAAGCCATGAATCATCTTTGTATAAAGGCTTCATCTATTGACCCCCAAATGCCAATATTATAAAGTCGAATTAACAAGAATATTAACGTGTATATAAGAAGCCTCACCCAGCTCTGTGTTAGCATAACCACAGCAATAGTGTGTGTTCCCAAAGACAAAAGCCCCATGGGGATTTTGCTCAGTCAGGGAGAATTTTGGATTTACATTATATCCAAAATATGTCTAACCTTCAGACCAATTTGTACATATTTGGTGAAATCCAGTGTTTTTAGAAATGCTAAAAATCCCAGGATGCATTTATTTGATCCTAAATACAGTTTTCTAAGCCTAGAAATCTCTGGAAAAGCACTTTGGCATTGTGTAAGGGTTTTTAACAATGTTTATAGTGGTCACTGATAAGATTTTCCTCTTAAAATAGGGAGATTCATCCATATTTCCAACCTTTTCTACAATGTAATAGTTGCAATGCAGCCTTAAAAAAAAGATCAGAAAACCCTAAATTTAAATGATCCTGCCTCTTTAATTCTCCCAGGGATGCTCTACTTTCAAATTGCCTTTTGTTTCTCTGCAGCCCTGGCCTTCACCTTGCATTTCCCCTATTATCCCTGCCACCTCCCCCCACCCACACACACATAGTAATGACATTGAAGAATTTAAAGTCAAAGCATAATTTCTCAAGTTTAAAAAGCATTGGAATCTGGCGGGTTTGCGAGTTTAAAAGCCTCATCTGCTGTGACCAACAATATTTATTTTAGCCAGCGACTCCTTCTCACCTGGAGTTGAGCAGGCTTTGGAAAGTCTAGGTTATTAGGTTCAGAAGAGCAGCCAATAAAACTTGAACATCAAACAGCATTTTTAGAATAATTTACCGGTTAGTTCAGCATGCAACAATAAGGAATAAAAGCTGCAATGACATTTCTGTTGACATTCCAGTGGGATTACTTTGGATAATTGAGCTCACTGGACATCTGGGTTCTCCAAATGCTAATGAAATACATTAAACCTGTTGTTTAAATTTGGGGATCTATATAACAAATGAGTAAACAAACTTTTATGAAGAAAAAGAATATTTTAATGAGCAGATTATTAAAGATTAAGAATATCGGTAACACTATGGTTTAAAAAGACAGACCAAGAACATGCCCCCAATCCCTAGAAATTATAGAAAAGAGATGTAGACTAATGACTGTTGGCATAAGAAACATCCAAACCTATAGAGAATTTTTATTTATGAGTTTATTTGAGCCATGCTGAGGACAGTTGCGGGGAAGCAAAATCTCAACGGAGTGAGAAAAATCTCTGGAAATGGCACTTTTACAACTTACTTTATACATCAAAATCACAGGGGAAGGCATAAGGTGGTTACATGAAATCCATTGGTGGTAGATTAGAAAGGTGGGAGAAAGCAAAGTGGGGAAATTTCTAGGATCGGAATAAAAGTAAAATGGAGAGATTTTTTTGCATTGGTTAACAGGATAATTAACAATTAACACTAACAGAACATAGAAATGGTCTAGGGCAGCGGTTCTCAACCTTTCTAATGCCGCGACCCTTTAATACAGTTCCTCATGTTGTAGTGACCACCCATTTCATTGTTACAAATTGAACATAATTAAAGCATAGTGATTAATCACAAAAACAATATGTAATTATATATGTGTTTTCCGATGGTCTTAGGCGACCCCTGTGAAAGGGTCGTTCGACCCCCAAAGGGGTCTTGACCCACAGGTTGAGAACCGCTGATCTAGGGGAATAAGATTATGAGGGGTTCGCTGGTCTTGGTGTTCTGGTGGGAGATTGTGCCCTGTGGTGTCTGGAAAAAGTGGAGTACCCTGACATTAAGCAGATAATGTGTTGTTGGTATTTTAGTTTTTGTTTGTTTTTTTAAAAACA